TAGGAAAAGTAATTTGCAACCAAAGGGCAGGACTCAGATGGAACTGATACACTGCCCTCAACCAACACATGGAAATGTCCATTTAGATGAGGCAGCTGGATGGAATGAGCCCACCAATGCTGCAGAGGAGGGTGGTGGATGTCATCTCCCGTAACTCTTTTTCTTCAACGGATCTAGAGACCAGGAAGCAAAATCCTGGTATTTCTGTGGCAGCTGAGGATGGAATCATTTCCTCTTTGATGTCAGACTGTAGGTGCCAATATATTGTAATGTTTCCCTGGAATAGTTAGGCCACAGAGCCTATCATCCGTCTTACTCAAAAAACAAAAAGGGACCTTCCAAAGGCAAGTCCTGCATGGTCTGCCAGGGAGCCCTGATGACTGTAACCACGGAATTGGCTGGTGCCATGCTTCGAGCCACCATACTGGAGCCATCTAAACTGCCAGTTCTGGTAGTACCTAATTTGCCCTCATCCACCACTATTGCCATGTGCACTGTCTCCAATCTTCTGGAAACTTGTCTAAGTTTTATAATGTTCTCCCAGAGGGTGAAGTCAGAGCAGCTCAAGAGTGTCTGTTGATTTGCAGTCCTGAGTGGCAAGCTTCCTACATGTGCATCCAAATAAGTCCAGCCTCTTCGAAACTTTGCTTTCTGGTGTTGGTGTTCAGTGTCCTTCTCTGACCCATTCAGTCATAGCTGCCACAAGCAAGGAATCTGGGGAAGAGTGAGAGTACAAATACTTAACCTAATCTTGTTTTCCAGGCAAGTAGTAATTTACCCTTTGAAATATAGATAGTTCCATTAGTCCTAAAATAGAATCATTTTCCTTTTATCTTCTGGTAGAGTGGCAAAACTCTGCCAGATTTGTGGGACTGCCATGCAGGAAACATAGGTTCAGAATGGAAACTGGACCCTGTGGGTGTCTGAAGGGGGCTAGTGAATGGAGGAATTAGCCATAGGCAATACTACAGAGATGACCAAGCACCATCTCTGCCCAGCTGAAAAGAAGATTTGCTGCAGTGTCTGAAGTGTTTGTGGGGAGCAGAGGAGGCCCATTATGTAAGATGTTGGATTTAAAAATTACAGAAAGCTACTCCCTACTCCTGCCTTCTAGATGAAGTCTGATTTCAGGCTCCTGCAATCTGCAGCTGACGCCAGGCCTCCAAAGAGTGCCAAGTCAACTAGTGCTAATTGCACTGCAGATTTTAGTATAATTAGTTGTTCTGAAAGTGATTTAACCAGATTGAAGCTTCTACTTCCATATTGTTTCGGGATTGTAAACAGTGAGCATATTTGATTACATTGATTCAGGTGTCAGATCAAAGGGTGACAATGAAGGTGCACTGTGACTGCCATGAAACCAAACAGAAATGGCAGATGGAACAGAAGGGAATTAAAGAGTAACTTGTTGCAAAACCACTGTGGAAATAGCTGCCCTTTTCTGGCTTCTTGCAAAAGCTCAATTAATCCCTATAGCTTTGATCCTGGAATCTGATCCTTGTGACTGGACCTGTTTGGCTATACAGAGCATCAGTGGCTTCAGTGTGGCAGTATCAATAACTGACCTCAAGTTTCTGGGAGAATGCAGAGTTAGTGAAAGGTGCCTGGATGACCATGCTGGAAAAATAAGATTTCCTGTTGTCACCAGCCAGATGCAGCCCATGAAATTAAGGAAGTTAAAGACTAGTCAACTATCCGATAAGCCTTTACTTATCGGATAGTCTTTTGACTAGTTGACTAGTCGATATCCCTCCCCCCTCTTGCTGCCTCCATGAAATAGAGGCAGCAAAGCGGGGGAGGGGTACTTCAAAATGGCAGCAGCACGACGGATGCTGTACAACTGATCCGCAGATCAGCCGCCGCACATTTCGAAGGGGCAGCTGCTATGGAGCCCAGGGTCAGCTGGGAACTCCCAGCTGCCCCCAGGTTCCCCACAACATTTCCCCAGAAACTGGGATCAGCTGGGAAGACCCCAGCTGATTCTGGGTTCTGGGGAAATGCTGCACTCCTAGAGGCATACAGCGGCATGCAGCCAGTCCCCCGCTGACCCCAGGCTCCATGGCTTTGAAATGCACAAGAGCCCCCCCGGGGACTCTTGTGTATTATGAAGCAGGCATGCCACATGCAGCCTGGAGTCAGTGAGACATTACGAAGCAGGCATGCCACATGCAGCCTGGAGTCAGTGAGACTTCCTGCTGGCCCTGGGCTGTAGGCAGAGTTCTGCATTCCTCCTTTGAAATGTACAAGAGCCCCAGTAGGGCTCATTTCAAAGGAGGAATGTGGAAATGACTATCGACTAGTTGACTTGTAGATGGAAATTCCATCAACTAGTTGACTAGTCAATTAACCACATTATAACATCCTAAGATGAAACTGCAGTCCAAGTTTCCCTATCAGGCTCTGTCATTATGGCTACAATCCTGCTATGGAAGGACCCATCATGAGGGGTCTTGGACTCCATTAAGTCTGCCAGTGAAAGTGTTAATGATGGTGTGATGGGGCCACACAGCCCTGCACTGGTGCTCCCATGGCAAGCACCCTATTCGGGCAGCGGGGAGGCGCATACCAGCATTGTGCTGGGTGTATGCGGGCCGCGGACCAGCTGGGGCGGAATGATCCGGTGATGTCAGTATGATGTCCTCTCTGGCTCTGGATGCGGCGGGAGTTTTAAACGCCGCTCCAGCACTGTGCGGGGTGGGGGAGAGGGAGGCAGAGAGACAAACGCCAAAGAACAGCCCTCGGCCCCGGAGAACAGGCAAGGGCACGAACCGGCGGATGCAGAGGGCAGGCCGGTCTGGTTACCCATGGAGCAACGGGGACCAGAAGCCCGCCCAGAGCAGCAAGCGGCTGGCCCATAGAGGGCCAGGTAAGCCGGCAGTAAGGGAGGGGAGCCGGACTGGAGAGGAAGTAGCCCAGGGCGGGGCCATAAAAGTCCCCGTGGGTTGGCTGGTTTCGGCAGGACGCCCCTGCCAGCCAGACCCGGACCAAAAACCAGTCCATGTCCTTTAGGGCCTGGGCTGGGGCCCGAGAGTGAGGGCGGGCCCGGGCCCCCCTTTCCTCTCTCTCTCTCTCCCCCCAGAGTAGCTAAAAAGAAAGCGCCCGAAAGAGTGAGCAAGAGGCGTTTAGGGCATACGTTGCTGGAGTTCCGGCAGGCGGAGATAAGGGCATGGTACTAGGTGACAACAGACTAAGCCATCCAGTAGAGCCCAGGCTGTGTGGGCGCTGTCCGAGGGCAGCGACCCAAATCGACTTGCGCCACCCGCCGTCCGAGCCAATTCCCCAAGATTTGGCAGCAGGCGGTGCTGTAGGGGGAGTACCAACCCTTACAGATGGGGAGACTTAACACACAACCTTGCCCATTAGCAACTGGGTCTGAGATCCCATGCATGTCCCATATGCGAACTGCCGCCATAACCTTAAGGGCGGGCACTGATGAGAGAACTCCCAATGGAACTCCAGTATTGGGTACTTTTAATATACACAAAGATGAAAGTTCTGCCAAAAGACATCTAAAAGTAATTACTAGTTGCAGTTTGCTTAAAAAAATTAAAAGGTTTTACACGGATACTGTATAGAGTTTATAAATCCTCAACGCAATGGAGAAAAATGGAAGCGCCTAATGATTTTACATTCCTTGCCATCTTATTAAACTTCTTAAGTAACAACCCATTAGGTTGTACATAAGTCCATAATTCCATCTTGGACTAGCAACCTTGTACTTATTAGGTAGGGATGTTAAACTGTTAACTGGGAAGCAGATCAGCAAGCATAAGGCTCACAGGTATGCTTATTGGATAACCGACCCTTGCCAGTGAACTCCAGCAGTGGCCAGCAGTGCTGAGGTAGAGTAGCGGTATGCTTATTGGATAACCAACCCTTGCCAGTGAACTCCGGAAGTGGCCAGCAGTGCTGAGGTAGAGTAGCCCTGGTTGCAGAAGGGCCAACAAGCCAGGCAGTGGGACCTCACAGCAGCTGCAGGACCTCATGACTGCAACAGGATCCCACAGCCATGGCAGGGCCAGGTGGAAGGACTTAACATAAGACGGTTAACCAGACAGGCACTCATAGTTTAACCAGTTATCTGTTTTAACATCTCTATTATTAGGCTATCACTTCCTAGCTGTAAAACACCAAAAAGAAATAACTCCACTTTCTGGAGTGCTGCTGAACAGAAATTCTGACAAACCCACAGATCCTTCATACAAATAGTGAAAATTGCAATTCCCTTGAGTAGCTATTCAGGGCAGCTATTGTCACCCCATCAGCTGCAACGTAATATACATTTGGCACCGTGGCATCCCTTTCCTTGGTATTTCAACAGAATAGAAATGTTGTACTATCACGCTTCTCTAAGCAGAAAGGGCATTACCCATTCCATTACACAATATGAGAGCTCACTAACGGGGCAATGTGGGACTATGCCATATGTCAAAAAGGTTCCAGAAAATAAACAATGTCAGTTGTTTAAATACTAGCATGATACATTTTCCAGGTAGTTATCAAGAAAATGCAATTCTTTAAATGCCTAACTAATCAATATAGCGAACCAATTGTGCAACCCATTTGGGGAGAAAAGGCAATCTTTTCAGGTTAATTCTTCACTCAGATACAATCATTTTGCAACTTACCACAGGCTTTTTAAAATATAAAAATAATTAGGTCCCTTTTATCACTAAAAACCCCTCAGCAACAGGCCACCAAAAGCAGATGACCTGATAAATGCTCAGGGGAATGTGCCTGAAAAGGAAAAACTATGCCTGTTTTTTTAAAGACATAATGCTATCACATTTGAGTTAATAGCAATTCTGTGAATATGAAACACACAACCTTTCAGCCTCAAAAAAGCTGTTCATTTTATGTGAAATTAAGAGGGAGTAAGGTTAGCAGCAAGGATCCTGACCCTTTGTAAAAGGCAAACTTGACAGCAAAACACAAGTATCCCATTAAACCCAGGGAAATGGCATCACGTGCTTGTGAAGCCTTTTGAAGTGCCAACATACCTTCCTTCTTTAAGGTGATGTTCCTCTTGCACCACCTAGCGACTGAAATGCTGCATTATCTGTGTTCTGTGTGGTTCAGTGCAGAAGTGTTAACATTCTCATTAGGACTATTTTCTGACTAACATTTAAACTCAAAATTAGGTTGTTTCTTGCTTAATATTTAGCTGTGCTTAACAATAAAGTTTAGAGAGTAGGTAAGGCAGAGGCAACAGACACAGGGTAAAGCAGTGACTTTGTCCCTACATATCTATTATGACATGTCCATGTGCAGCTAGATAATTGCCTCCTGATAATTGTTCAGAGCTTGATAATGACTGAAGTCAGGCAGCTAACGGTTTATCTGTGTCGAGGTCCAGGTCTGTACAACTTTAGATTAAAGAGCAGGCACTTTGGCAATAGCTGGAGTGATAAAATGCACAGATGATCTTCCTGATTACTGGTCACGTTACAGCATAACTGCCATCTCCTAATAAGGAGGGAGATTAGAAGGGCAGCTGGATCCAAGAAGTGGCTGGGCCTAATGCAAAGGTTTATTTCATATGGGGCATTACATAGCATGCTGCCTAGCAGCCACATAGGGCTCTTCACATTCAGGGATCCTCTGCCCCTGTGCCAAACAGCTGATAGCTCCAGTTATAGAAGTGTTGATTGACCATCATGCTGTCGGAACCCCTCCTTCAACCTCTGTTTCCCTCCCATCCAACTGTATTCTGACAACACTGTTATGAAGGGGCTGTTTAGAGGTTTTATTCCTAGTGTCTCCTATCCTCAATTTGTGTGTGTTGTGCTCCCTCTGCTGGCTGGCACATGTGCCCAGATACCTCTGTCCTCACCAGGCAGCCAGCTAAGCTGGGGATGTGGTTTTGTACATACACTTGAAGGTTTCAGGACTCACTAGATATCAGGGAGAAGTTGAGAAAACCTAAATATCAGATCTCATGAAGCCTACCAGCTCGGATGGCTTAACCCATGCCTTTCTTTTCAAGTACCAGTCCATCTCTCCCACAATTAAGCCATTCCTGGGACATATGAGTAAAGAAGGAAAACAGAAGGCCTTGGATTTTGCAACCATTTTCATTTTGTGTTAGCCATGCAGCAAAAGACACTAACTGCCACTTTGTGGCAGACCTTGCCCTGAAGAGTACCTTCTAATATGTAACCTTAGGGACTATATAGTGTCTACCTCACCCCTTCTGTGAGTACTACTTCAGTGTTTCAAAGAAGGAGCCAATGTAATAGACTTTCTGTGCTATCTCTGGCATGCTGGAGAGAACGATGTTAAGGAAGAACCAGCAGCAAGTTAAGGCAACCTGCAAGTAGTGTTCCCTGTAAGCTGTGCGCTTGTGCTAGGAAATAAATGCTGCTAAGCTGATTAACAGAGCACTTACAACTAGGTTTGTGTTTCTTCTGGTTGTGCACATTCACATAGGCCTTAGTGCACACAACATTTATTCTGCACAGGTATGGAAAAATCCACACATGGATGAAAGAGATTACAGGGAACATTACCTGCAAGTACTATGAAAGATATCAAATATGATGTACTGAATGTCCCGAGTGAAGAGGGGCATTACACATTAGAAAGTTAAGTCCAGATTAGTATGGTCTTGTGGGTAAGGCACTAGGACTAAGGCTGTGGCACAGACTTCCTAAATGACATTGAGCAGGTCCCTTGATTTTCCTGTGCCTCAGTTTCCTAGCTGCTCACTGAGGATATTATTGCTTCACTTCCCCTGCCTCACCAGGGTATTGAGAGGAGATCCAGGGGTCACCATAGACCACAAGCTAAATATGAGACGAAAGTGTGACACTTGTGGGGGAAAAAAATAAAGCAAAAATGACTCTGGGATGCATTAATAGGAGTTTTGTGAGCAAGACATGAGAAGTCATTCTTCCATTCTAATCTGCACTGATTAGGCCTTAATTGGAGTGTTGTGTCCAGTTCTGGCCACCACATTTCAAGAAAGATATGGAGAAATTGGAGAAGATCCAGAGAAGAACAAGAAAAATGATTAAAAGTCTAAAAAACGTGAGCTATGAGGGAAGACTGAAAGAATTTAGCTTGTTTAATTTAGAAAAGAGAAGACTGAGAGGGGACGTGATAGCAGTTTTCAAGTATCTAAAAGGGTGTTATAAGGAAGAGGAGGGAGAAAAATTGTTCTCCTTGGTCTCTGAGGATAGGACAAGAAGCAATGGGCTTAAATTGCAGCAAGGGAGGTTTAGGTTGGACATTAGGAAAAGCTTCTTAACTGTCAGGGTGGTTAAACACTGGAATAAATTGTCTAGGGAGGTTGTGGAATCTCCATCTCTGGAGATATATAAGAGCAGGTTGGCTAGATATCTATCAGGGATGATCTAGATGGTGCTTGGTCCTGCCGTGAGGGCAGGGGACTGGACTTGATGACCTCTCAAGATCTCTTCCAGTTCTAGGATTCCATGATTCTATGAAATTAGTGTTTTTGAGGCACCAGGACAGGGGCTGGGCGAAAGGGCCTCCCCGGGTCAGATCCGGCCTGCCAAGGGAGTGGATCCAGCCCACAGAGGCCCTGCTGCTCCCCTACCCCCAGGCCAATTAGCGCTGCTCGCAGGGTGGGGGGCAGAGCGGAGAAGACTTCAGGCACTCCTCCGCCCCCAGACCTTAATTGGCAGGGCGGGGGGGAGCATGCGAAGCCTCGTCCCGCCCTGCAAGCAGCACGCAGCATGGGGCGGAGGGGCAGAGTGGAGGAGGCTTCACGCTCTCCCCCGCCCCCAGACCAATCAGGGCCTGTGGACAGGGGAACAGCATGAAGCTTCCTTCGTCCTGCCCTGGCCCTGCAAGTAGCCCGTGGCACTTCAGAGTGCCACGTGCTCCTCGCAGGGTGGGAGGAGGCTTCGGGCGCTCCCCCGTCCTCAGGCCCTGATTGGCCTGAGGATGGGGGAGTGTGCCAAGCCTCTTCCAGGGCATGGGTACCTTGTGGGAAGGGGGGGCAATGTGGCTTCCCCACCCCCAGACCAATCATGGTCTGGGGGTGGAGTCGCCCCTCCGCTTCCTGTTTAGGCCCCGCCCCTTCTGGAGTGGCCCGCGGCTACTTCAAAAAATTTTGAAGTGGCCCCCGGGCAAAAATGATTGCCCACCCCTGCACTAGGATGATGGGGGCATAGACTGCTGTCCCATGCACCACCGAAGAGCAGTGGTGTCTTTAAAGCATCACACAAATATCACCACATCACTGTTAGCAAACCTGTTCAATTTCTTCTTAAGTCCTATCCCGAAAAGATTCCAGAGAACTTATGCTGAGAACTCAGCAGAGAACACATGCTGGAGTGAGCCTTTCTAAACCAGTACTCTCTGGTTTAGAGATATCCATGGGCTGGCAGGGCCATGGATGTTCCTGGACTGATTGCCCTGGTGGCTTGGAAAGCTTGTTGGTAGTGGTGGACTGGCAGCCAGGAGCCCTCTGAGCCAGCGGCAGAGGAGCTGGCAGCCCTGCCAGGACCAGGAGCTCAGTCAGACTGGTGGCAGGGGGGCCAGCGTTGACTTCGCCTAGTTAGGCAAACTCACTTGTTCGGAACGGGTCAGGTCCTGAGGATGCTGAATCAGGGAGGTCCAATCTGTAACTAATAATCAGCTATATTTAGCTTTGTCTTACACAGGCCCTTGTACACATGGATCTCAAAGCATTTTTAACATTAATGCATTAAATGTGTTAAGGGAAATATTAGTTGCATTTTGCAGATTGGGAAACTGAAGCACAGAACATTTAATACACAACTTATCCATAGTCACACAGGAAGTCTGTTACAGAGCTTGGTGCATAAACTGACTTTCGTCACTTCCAGTCCTGAATTTTAGCCATAATCTTACCCTTTAACCCTACACTCAGCCATGCATCTACTCCTGAGGAAATGTGGGAGCCCTGAATTCCCAGAGAGCTGAATGCCCCTCTTTGCTGATTTGTTACATTCATTATAGTGAGGCGGTTGGACTATCCTAAAAGGTAAACTGCAAATTGTACAAAATCAAGAGTTTCAGCCTATTAAATTTCTTTGCCTTTTATTTTTGACACAAGATTAGCATTAGTTAAACATAGCACATACCTAGGAATTTCCTTGGTTTAATAAGTCATAATAAAAGTTTTTAAAAGCCGCAAGCTTTCCTGTCAGGTTATAAAACCTAAAACCTATACAAATATACCTAAAAGATCAGTCTGAACTTTCTAAGCCAATTCAATGATTTTTTTAAAATAAAAACACAAGTAAAATTTATTCTTCCCCTTTCATTTTAGTCACTTGTGATGTATAGCCAAACAGAATCTGTTTATTGATCTAATTCATTAGATGTAGGAACAAAAAATAAACCCAAACTCTAGGGAAGAAAGGCCGGGAAGTGGGGATGCATGCTAAATACTTGCTTTGGAAACAACAGTTACAGGCGAGTGATTTACCACTTCTCCAAAGGTAAGTACATTAGCATAAATCCCTACTGTAAGAGATTTAGCATTTAGATCAATCACCTACCAAAGACATTCATAGGCTCCATAATAGGCAAAACAGAAAAGCAGAACAACAGGATGTTGCTCTACAAGCAAAGCGTAAAATAGCAAGAAGACTGTCTGACAGCTGTGCACTTCTCATGAATGGCACAGAGGTAATGCACCATGTACAGGAAGGGCACTCTCCTCCTATATAAAAGGAAAAGCTTCTTTTGAAAAAACACCAAGCACAGAGACATTGAGACCCCTGGGTTCAGACAGAGTTTTATGAGGAGTGTTAGAGTGCACTCAGCCTGTAAAATAGACTCACAATGATGACAGGCCATAGCTTGATGTGGAGTCTAGGCAATATCATCTCATAATAGTATATAATGATACACTGCCATTTTTATGAGATGGTTACCATTGCCAACAGGTGATTGAATGGCTTTTCATATGGCCATCAAGTGATGAATCTTGTTAGAGAATAGCAAGGAGAAAGGCATTGAGAGGGCCATTTATTTTGACGTTTCTTTGACCCGCACCAACTTAATTGTCTGTGTCAAAAGAAAAAGCAATGCACAGCTTTATCCATTTCAGATAAAAATCAGATGATATTTTCAAAGCTACCCTGTTAAGCCAGTCCTCCCTCCAACATAAGCATGAGGGGAGCATATAAGGTTGTAGGTTAGGTGATTGCTTAATTCAAGCAGATGTGTAATACAAGCTTACTCTTCTAAAACATGTTGCAGGGTTGATCAG